TCACTTCTAGACTGGATCCTGGACTAGAGGGAAAATGCTATGCAAAGAACATTATTGAGGTAATTGACAAAATGGGTGGTAAGTGAGATACTGTGTTGCATTAATGTTAAATTTAGTGAAGTGGATAAGGGTTCTTACATACACTGTAACTGTTTAGGCATAAAAGAGTGTGATGTGTGCAACTTATTCTCCAGTAGTTCAGAATAAGTTACCTGTAACACTTCATATAGAGAAAGAATTAACTTTCTTAATTTTAACAGGTGAATTCAGGATAGAGGGCAGACAAATGTCCATTATACTATTCACTTTTCCTTAACTTTGAAATTATTTCCAAATAAAAAGTTAAACCAAAAAAATCCAGGCTCCTTACCATGGCCCACGAGGTACATGCCACCACCCCCAGCCAGCCTGTGCCGTCTCATCCTGACTCGTCATCATAGGCAGTATACTCAGCTCCTTTGATATGGCTGCCTTCTGGGTTCCCAAACATACCAAGTTCTTGCCCACCTCTGGGACTTCATGCACACACCTACTATTGCCTCTGTATGGAATTTTCTTCCCCCAACTCAAGTACTCAGGGATATAGTAATTATCATTTCTCAAAATGGCCTTCGATCCCCCACTCCAACCTAATACAGACCAAGTATATTCTTTCATAGCTCCCTGAACTTTTCCTTCATGATACTTATCACAGTTTGTAAGAATTCGTATTTGGGGAGGATTCCTCATGCCCATCTTCTCTAGTAGCCTGAAAGCTTCCAAAAGCCAAGGATCCCATCTGTTTCAGCTACTGGACCTAGCACACTGCCGGGCACTTAGGACACAGCAGATTAAATGATGTCTTCTACCCTCCAAGTTCACCCCCAAATTGTTGGCAGCTGTCAGAGAACACACCCTATAGTCCACGTCTAGCTGCAGGAATGGATTCATGAGGTTGCATCTACACGGTCTTCTTGGATTCCCTATCGCTGACCCCAGTACTTGAAACTAAGAGGCCATGGTAAGGAAGAAGGGAAACTCCGGGGGAGACTTATGCTAAGGGAGGGATGATGAATTCAGCTGAGAGCATGGAAACTCCAAGGGGGATGTCAAGGAGGCATTTGGCTGGACTGGGCTGGTGCTCAGAGGGGCAGTTTGGATTGGAGAGGTGGCCAACAGCCCAAGCTGTGGGCAACAGGAGATCTCTCATGGACCTGTCTGTGCAAAAGAAAGAGAAAAGAGTCCCGGAGGAGCCAGACTTAAGGGCTACGCAGAAAAGTGTCTCTGGCGGCAAATAAACAGTGTCTGGGAAAGTAGGAGTGTTATCAGGGGAGAGAGAGAGAGAAAGAGAGAAAGAGATGTCACAGAAGACAAGAGAGGAAGCCAGGTAGGCGCTGAACTCCATACATTTGTGTTTCCTTTTTCCTTGTTCGAGCTCAGCATCTGGCATCTCATGAGTTGAGGTGGTCTGGTGGGGACTAAGGGCTTGGACTCTCGTTTCAAGACAAGACGAATCTTGACTCAACCACGGTTAGGCTGTATGACCTTGGGCCATGGACTTAACTTTCCCAGACTCCAAGCCCCTGTCTTCAGAATGGGAGTAAGGCTACTATTCACTTTCCCAGGCTGCCGTCAGGATTGCAGAAGCTCATCTCTGAAAAGCCCTTTGACCCATGTTTGGTCTACAGTCTAGGGATGAATAAGCATCACAGGTCATGCACAGCAGGGACAGGATGCACTGCTTCTGGCTAACAGAATTGTTTCTGAGGTTTAGCCAATGAGGGGCTTCAGACAACAGTCAAAGAGCCCCCTTGCCACCTTCTAGGCCATGTCCCCTTCCCCTGATCCAATCCCTATTAAACAGACCTACAGTGGGCAGGCTCCATTTAACACAGTCCTTTCTCCAAAGCCTCTTTCTGAAAATCATCTGTGCCCCCCACCCCCCAAATGTGCCCCAAGTTTGCCCACTTGGTTGCAACTAAACCCTGTTTTTCGGGTAACCATGGGGACACCTCTTCCTCAACACAACTACCTTCCGTGGATCTCAGGAAGTATCCCCAGGTCTCTGACTTGGAGATCACTCTAGTGTGAGCCAGTAACTTCTGACCATCCCATCTCTGAAGGAAAGAGAAGAGTGTGGACACCTCTTCACAGCTTAGAAAGCAACTGCACACCATAACGTCCCTTTCGTCCTCACAACGGCCCCGTGAGGTAGATACAGCAGGTAATAACTACTCTGGTCCATGTTTATCAAGCATTTACACTGTTACCATGCTCTGTGTGAAGCATTTTCATACATGATCTCATTTAAACTCACCCAGATCCTATGAAGTGGGCTCAGCTTTTCCATTTTACAGAGGAGAAAAATGGGGTCAGAGTGGCGAGAAGTTGCCCCAAATCAAAGAGGTAGTGAGTAACGGATTCAAACCTCAGACCACACTTTTAACCCTTCTACAATATCGCCTCACAAAACAAGTATATTATTTCCGGGCACTAGCTTATCCATTAAATGGAAGCTCGGAGAGGTAAAGTGACTTGCCCAAAGTCTCACACCCAGGAACTGGCAGAGCTGAGATCCACAATTGGATCTTCTGGCTCTGAAGCCCCTGAAACCAGGAAGCATCAGTGACTGGGTCTGATGAGGTACTAGGTAATTATTTCTGTAGCAGCCTTGCTTTGGCAATCCTGTTCAGCCCAGAATAGTATTTCTAAACCGGAAGTCCTTCCTGACATTTTTCTGGGAAATTTATGTTTTTCTGAATCCCAGGACCCATCAGTCAAGAGACTGGGAAAATAGGAAAAGTGTTATAATTCTCTTGTGAGAATTCATGCTTAACAATAAACATAGAGGCATTCCTGGTATGAAGGAATCACTGACATCAAGTAGAAAGCATGAGAAGGAAATGCTGAGATAATGGAGTCCAAGACTAAGGTAGACATGTTGGGAACTTGGGTCAGGAGGAGAGAAGTGGGGGTGCCTGTCTGGCTCTGTCAGAGGAGTGTGTGACTCTTGAGCTCAGCTTTGTGAGTTCGAGCTCCACAGTGGGTGTAGAGATTACTTAAATAAATAAATATTTGTTAAAAAAAAAAAGAAGAAGTGGTCACAGTCTAATCACTCTTTTTCATAGCTGTTGCCATATCACAAGTGGATCTGTGGCCCTATCTGTTGTAAACAGTCATTTTCACAGACGGAATATTGATCTGTTTACATGCATCATATATCTTGTACAAATCCTATGAGTGATATTCCAAGAATCAAATTTTGGAAATAAACTGGTCCTCCAATGGGCAATTTCAACACACAATGCTGTGTGGTACAGTTATCTTGTTGAAGATTTAAACATTTCGTTATTCATATGTTACCAATAATATTCTCTGGTATTTTTTGTTTGTTTTTTAAAAATATTTGCTATAGCCTACAGTTCTTTGTAACTACTCTTATTTATTTAAAAAATACAGAACGTTATGAAAAATACAGACTAGTATGAATGATTTCAGGAATTTCCAAGAATTTCAGTTTTTCATTTCCAAATCCTGAAGATGATTATCTATTGGGAAATTGGATACCCAGCCCAGAGGAACTGGATGGACTTCCTGAGCAGCCCAGTGGGATGGCAAACTATGGAGAGGCCATCTTTCCTGGCTTCCAGGAAGTTTCTGCATAGGAGCAGTTCCTGGAGTAGAGCTTCCTTGGCCAACAGCCCTCTAAAGGCAGAGGTCTGAGAAGAGGTTACTTCAGGGATCCATGGGCTGTGCCTGAAGCATTGGTCTTAATGTGAAACATCTGAAGGCTCAAGTTTTATCGCAATCTCATTCCAGAGAGTATCTGCTCATTTTAGTACACAAAGTGTTATGTAATTACCATGAGAAAAATGGATTAAATGGATGCTGGGTCAAGCTGCACCTTTAACTCTTGTAGGAACAGAGGCACTGCAGCAGGGGGGCTGTGGAATCAGGAAGGCAGACCTGGGACTGGATGCTGGTTCTGCTACCTACTGGCTGTGTGACGTTGGGCAGGTCCCTTAACCTCTCTGAGACCTAGTTTCTCCATCTGTAAAACGCTGATAATGAGAAGACCAGTGTCACTGGGATGCTGTAAGGATTAAATGAGATCATCGCTGTAAATCACAATGCCTGGCACAGAGTAAACTCTCAATAAACGGGAGACGTTATTTCCTAAAATGACGGACCCAGCAGTGGACTTGGGAAGGAAGAGCTTGGTGAAAGCCCTTGGAACCACTCACAGGGCTCATATGCCCCCCGGCCTTGTTCAGGCGGGGACTTTCCAGGTCTCTGGGCTCTGCCAGATGCCCCAGGCCCTCCCTACTAGCCCAGGACGCCTTCCGGGTCCCCTGGCGGGGCCACGCTGGGAGACAGGCGGGAGCCAGGGCAGAAAGGCCTCTGTCCCACGTGGGTTCCCAGGGGACTGGCGAGGTTGGCACCGGGTAGAAGCTCTTGAAGCACGTCCTCTGGTGCTTGAGGTAACCCAGCCCCCTGCAGGGCATCCGTGGGCTTGTCGTGGGTGGGGGTGGGGGGTGGAGGGGAGGCGGAGGGAGGTGGGGTTTGGGGCGGGAGGGGGGGGTTCGGTGGAGTGGGGGAGGGGGTGGCAGGGTCTCCGCGCGTACGTGGGCCTCGCGGGGTCTGGGGGCGACGCGGCCGCAGGGCTGGCTGGCGGGGCGTCGCGGGAGGCTGGAGGCCGGCGGACGCAGGGCTGGGCGCGCTGGTGTGGGAGGAGGTGGGCGCCCACCCCGCACTCCAGTGCGGCCGGAGCCTCTGGCGGCGAAGCGTCCTCGGGCGCTGGGTGTGATCCGAGTTGTGCCCAAGCCCTTTGCACACTTGGGGTGCCCGTGGGCCCGCTCACTGTACGAGGGTCCGTGGCGAGCAAGATGGGCGCTGTGACCTTAGGTTCGAGGCAGACGAGGGCGGCTCGCCCCCGAAGTTCCTGCGGTAGCTGTAGGGCTGGGAGGCTCTTTTCCACCCTCGGGGCACGGGTGGGTGGCTGGATCTCGGGGCGGCCAAGAGAGACCCGAGGGCCTCGCCTTGCCTGGGGAGCCGGCTCACCTCCCCTTCCCCTGGGGAATCGTCCTGGGTGCCCTCGGGGCCTTGCTTCCTCCTCCGGGAGCTCTGGCGTCGGGCAGCACCGCCGAACCCGGCCGGGCGTTTGTCCGGAGACCCCTTCTGGGCAGGAGCCTCCGGAGGGGCTCTGTCTTCAGACCTTTCTCGTGGAGGGCTCTTCTGGTCATCCGCACTCCCGAATCCTGCCGGAGGAAGAGAAGAATCTGGGTCGTGTTTTCTCCTCCCTTCACCCAAGACTAGGAAAACCCTGTCTTGGGAATCTTAAATGGGGCAACTAAGTGGAGAATCTGGGCAAACGGACAGAGGTCAGTGTTTCCCGCAGCAGGTGGAGGCTGAGGCATGGCTTCACCAGGACTCGGTTCCTGAAATCGGACAGAGCTGGGCAGCTCTGCACTTAGCTGCAGTGTGACTTCAGGCAAGTTACTAACTTCCTGCAGTCTCAGTTCATTCAGTTGTGAGGTGGGATAACGGCGAAGGCAGCCTCAAAGGGCTGTCCGTGTGACCGGGGGTCCACAGACCCGCAGGACGGTGCGGCAGAGCAGCGCTGTTACATCGGAAAGATCAAATATAAACTCGTACCTTAAACAATTTTTTTTTTCCAACTCTGTCGCTACTAGGTGAGGTCCAGTACCCAACTATTGTGTATACCACCAGTGCCCAGAAATTGGTGTCTTATATTATTTACCATTAAAATAACCAGGAGTCCTTGGAGGGTAGCTGATTCCATTTTTTAAACAAGAAAAATCCACGAGCATCCTGTTGATGCCAGAAAACAAGGATATTTTCAAGGATGTTGGGGCAGTGTTACAAAGACAAATATCCTAATTAAATGGGCTACCATTTTCAAAGCTATGTTGTGATTTGAGCACCCTAAAACCCGCAACAATCATGAGGCGTAAGTGAAATGTCTGGGGAAGGCCATGAGTCCATAAACGACTCCAAAGTAGAAAGTTAATATAAAATCTTCAAAAAGGTCATTGTAAGACAAGTACATTCCCCTACGGGTACTAGAGGTTCTCCTACAGGGAGTTGAACTGGAAAGGTGATGAGGGGGCACCTGGGTGTCTCAGTGAGTTAAAGCCTCTGCCGGTTAAAGCCTCTGCCTTCGGCTCAGGTCATGACCCTTGGATCCTGGGATCCTGGGATCGAGCCCCGAGTCAGGCTCTCTGTTTGGCAGGGAGCCTGCGTCCCTTCTCTCTCTGCCTGCCTCTCTGCCTACTTGTGATCTCTATCAAATAAATAAATAAGTCTTTTTAAAAAAAGAAAGGTGATGAGAATAGATATGTATCATTTTGATGATTTTTATGAATAGAGTGTAAATATATGGATATTTTTATTTGTCTCTTATTCCTCTACTTCTATTTATAAGGTAGAAATATGAACTCATTTCTCTCTGTGCAAGGAGAGAACTGTGAGCCCACTGACCCTGGGTAAGGCAGGATGACCATGACCCAACAGCACTGATAGATACACACGGTAGCCAGGTAGGAGGAAATGTCAGCATTCTTCCAGCAGTGATGACCCTGTTTGTCCTGATGAGAACTGGCTTCACCGTACTTATTACCGCATCTCCTAAGAAAATGGTTTTTAGCCTGAGGAAATTAAAAAAACACTGGGCTACAAAAATAAAATAAAATAAAATAAAATAATAAAATAAAATAACCCAGCTACAGGTCCCATCACAAAAGATCCCCAGATTCTATAATAAGGGATTCATACTCAGGATAAAGAACTCTCACAACTTATCATAAAAGTCAACAAACCGATTGAAAAACAGGCAAAGGAATTGAACAGCCATTTCTCCAAAGAACACCAGAAATGGCTAACAAGCACATGAAAAGACCCTCATCATCACAACATATTAGGAAAAGGCAAATCAAACAAAGAGAAAACCACAAAACCACAACAAACGCACTCATTTGGATAGATACTATTAAAAAAAAAAAGCATCCAGAAAAATAACAAATGTTGATGAAGATATGGAGAAATTGAAACCCTTGTGCACAGTTGGATGAAATGTAAAATGGTGCAGCTGCTACGGAAAACAGTGTGACGGGCCCTCAAAAAAGAGCTGGCAAGGAGCGCCTGGGTGGCTCAGTCAGTTAAGCAGCTGCCTTCGGCTTGGATCATGATCTCAGGGTCCTGGGATCGAGCCCCACATCGGGCTCTCTGCTCAAAAGGGGGTCTGCTTCTCCCTCTCTCTCTCTATGCCCCCCCCATGCTCTCTCTTTCTCAAAATAGAAGATCTTTAAAAAAAAAAAAAAGAGCTGACAATTTCACTACTGAGTATATATCCAAAAAATGGAAAGCAGAGTCATAAAGAGATATTTGAACACCCGTGTTCACAGAGGCCTTATTCACAATAGTCAAGGGATGGAAGCAACCCAAGCGTCCACTGATGGCTGAGTGGATGAACAAAAGGTGGGGTGTTATATACAATGGGATATTACCCAGCCTTAAAAAGGAAGGAAATTCTGACCCAGGCTGCAACATGGATGGACCATGAGGACATTATGTTAAGTGAAATAAGCCAAAAAACAAAACAAGTACTGTAAGATTCCTCTTATAGGAGTTCCCTAGAGTGGTCAAATTCAGAAGCAGAAAGTGGGATGGTGGTGGCCAGGGGCTGGGGGAAGGGGGAAGGAGGAGTTAGCATTTGATGTGCACAGTTTCAGTTTTATAAGATGAAAAGGAGTCTGGAGATGGGTGGTAGTGATGATTGTACAAGAAAATGAAGGTACTTAAGGCTACAGAACTGTCCACTTAAAAATGGCTAACATGGGGATGCCCGGGGGCTTAGCTGGTTAAGTGACTGCCTTTGGCTCAGGTCATGATCCTGGAGTCCTGGGATCAAGTCCTGCATTGGGCAGGGAGTCTGATTCTCCCCCTGACCCTTCCCTTTCTCATACTCTCTCTCTCTCAAATAAATAAATAAAATCTTAAAAAATGGTTAACATCGTTAACATGATAAATTTCGTTATGTGTATCTCAACCAAAAAAAAAAAAAAAAAGATGTCCAGATTCTAATGTGCAGCCAGGTTTGAGATCCTCTGTCAGGGGAAGGGCACAGAAGGGTATATGTGAAACTTTCATGACCTTACCAATTATGTTAATAATGGGTTTTACTAGTGCCAACAGACCAGGTCAATGCATCATAATGAAGGGACAAGAGCTTAGTTATTGATGACCATACAAAAATTGAATGTACCATCTCTGAGGAAGACACCAAGGTTCAAAATTTAATATCTGTATATAAATCAGTTACATGTATTAGTTCTTATTTGTATTTTGATTTAAACAAGCTGAAAAAAATTTAGTTGACATTTATGGAACATTTATTCAAATTGAAAATTCAAATACACTGGATATTCAATATTAAGGGATGATTATTAAAAAAATTTAGTTGTGATAATGGCACTACAGTTTAAAATCCTTAATCTTCTTTAAAAAAAAAAAAAAAAAAAAAAAAAGGGACGCCTGGGTGGCTCAGTTGGTTAAGCCGCTGCCTTCGGCTCAGGTCATGATCCCAGGGTCCTGGGATCGAGTCCTACATCAGGCTCCTTGTTCAGTGGGGAGCCTGCTTCTCTCTCTGCCTCTGCCTGCCTCTCTGCCTGCTTGTGTTCTCCCTCCCTCTCTCTCTCTCTCCCTGACAAATAAATAAATAAAATCTTTAAAAAAAAAATAAAATAAAATCCTTAATCTTGGGGTGCCTGAATGGCTGTCATAGAGAATGTGATGGTTGATCTTGGGGTTGTGAGTTCAAGCCCCGTGTTAGTGTATGGATCACTTTAAAAAATCTTTACAAAAAATAAAATAAATAAAATCCTTATTTTTTTTTGAGTATCATGCCTTAACAGTTCAGATGACATTCTATCATGTGTGAGATTTGCTTCAAAATAATCAGGGAGGAGAATCAGTAGTCATGAGTTTAAACTGTTCAAGTTGAGTAGTGGGTTCATGGAGAGTCTATAAACCGTATTTATTTTTTTATTTGTTTGACATTTTCCATAATGAGTTTTTCTTTAAAGCATACAAAAGAAAGAGAGAAAAAGAAAGAGAAGAAAGAAGGAATATATGAGAAAGACAAAAAGAAAGGAAGAAACTCAAAAGCTCCCCAAGGTCACAAGTAAACTTTATATAAACGGGCACTGGGGCTAGTGACCCTCAGTTTTGAATCCTCAGAGTTGTGACATGATCCCTGTCTCTGGCCAGAACCTGCAACCTGCTGATTCTGAGTTTCCTTTTTCTTTCGGGTTTGGTAGGATTACAAAAACTCTAGGGGGCGCCTGGGTGGCTCAGTCTGTTAAGTGACTGCCTTGGTCTCAGGTCCTGGTCTCAGGGTCCTGTCAGCGTGCTGCTCAGTGGGGAGTCTGCTTCTCCCTCCCCCTCTGCTGCTGCTCCCCCTGCTTGTATGCTCGCTCCCTCTCTCTCTCTGTCAAATAAATAAACTGTTAATAAAAATTTTTGAAAGGTATAAAAATAATAACTGGTAGAATTACTGAAGCCCTAGAAAGGTAGAGAAATTGGAACCTTAGGCAGGTGAAGGAATAAGGACAAGAGAAGGTTAAGTCCATGGTTTAGTACTTTCATAACCAGTTTTGATGGCAGGGTTTTAATAAATGTTGTAATTACTCTATCTATAAACACTTAAAGCATATGAGTAGTCAAAAGAATCCACTGTACTGACTTTGTCTTCACAGTTAAATTATTTAAGGTAATTTAGCTGGTCAAATTTGTAATCAAAGCTTAAGTCCCCTGTGGAAAACAAATAGTTTTCCATTTTTTTTTTTTGTTATAGTCTAATACATTGAGCATTAGAGCATACAGAAGATGGTAAATATTTCTCTCCAGCCCAGAAGCCTCTCAGATAATGAAATCATCTATCGGGGGGTTCTGACTTCCCCTTAAATGAGCAGGTAAAACACTTGGCACCAGGTCTACAGCCTAGAATGATCTCAAATCCAGTTCCGATGAGACCGTGTATTGGAAAGGGAAGGAGCGGTATTAGGGGCAAAGCACAGACAGGGGGTCTCCCAGCTGTGTCTCTCTCATGCTGTGTGTCTGGCTCATCAGGTAGCTCTTCCATCATTCAGCAGGTGCTAACTGGGCACCAAAGGGGGTGTCCAAGTCCCACTGGCTATCCCTATCTCGCAGCCACAAACAACGATCTAGCACACTTTTC